AGGTTTTGGTGACGCATGCGTTTGACTCGGTCACATTGCTAATCGAAATCATTTTGAGTACCTAACATATTACCTTTGTAGGTTAATTTTTTCTGAAGATTTAGAGAAAATTTGAAAAATAAATTTGTGGTATGTTATTTAAAATTGTCCTTAATTATTCAAATTGTTATGGTAGTCATTGTTTCACAGGTTAAATAAAATATCTATGTAGTTCTATACCTAACAGTATATAAATAATTATGATAGGTGCAGAATACATCTATGAAACACACCCATACGGTTCGTAAATCAAAAACAATAGTTTTCCATTAAAGAACAGTCTCCTAGATGTATAATTCTACATGTTTGAAGTCCTATTGTTACAAAGGTTAAACTGATTCTTCCCTGAAATTCATTTATGCCACAAAAGTGGCTTCTCTACTAAAATCTTACGGTTTACCTATGACGAATAGTGAAGTTCAGACGAAACCTGCATAGCCTTTGTTTATTTCAATGTAAGGTTTTCTATTTAACAATAGCCCATTGACTTTGGTTCTAACTTTTAGTCCGGATGTAGAACGTCAATGGTTCAATATGCTTTATTGGATACTCTGCCCTTAAGATTTAAGGTCAAGAATGTACCACATTTGTGTCTGGAACATAAAAAGTAAATTAAGAAAATAACCTCTTCATGAATCATGCACATTTGCCCGAAAAGATCAAGCTAAAACAATTATTAAAAACTACCATGTCAAGATTTGCAGTGATTAAGGTTATCTATTAGCGCAGAGAGATGAAATAGAAAATTAAATCGACATCGATATAGATACAGATATTTCAGCCTTCAATGTTAATATGTTAGAAGCCAAGAAATATTCTAAAAAATGATTGACGATGCGCCAGACACCGGGTTAAATTGACAAAGTGGGTGTCTGTACACGCGACCACCGCTGTGAGTTTGTCACTCTCATTACATTGTCAACATTGTCACGTCTGTAATATTTAATACCGTTTTTTAGGGTGTTAAGTGCGATTTTTCTTAACAGTTAAATAAACACTTGGCCATAGAGGATAGATACTGTAACCGAACAGAAGAAGAGTCAATAGCATCGGCGCGTGCCAACACAGCCGGATGAAAAGTAATGTCTTCAAATATGTAGCATCATCGCAACATTTTATGAACTGTTATACACGCGTTTAGTGACTTTTAACAGTCACTCTTAACAAGTATGTGGAATAACAGTATGTACAAACAGAATGATTTGCAACCCAATAGTCTAAATAAGTTGATAATGCCGAGTGTAACGTAGATACTTGGAAGAAAATCGTATTTGAACAGTTAATTCTTAAAAGAAAAAACAAAATCGTGAGTGCGTAAAAATTGTAAATTTTATTTGTAGCCCACTCGAAAAAGATTAGAAGAAAAATAAAATTTGAAGACATAATATAAAGTAGCTCCGAAAAGATGACCTAGGTTTAATATTTATATATAGGGTCTACCAATAAGAGCGTCCTGGTTTAAAAATTGAATAAAACACACAATTTTTTGTGGCAAATTCATCCGATTGATTTATTTGATAGATAATTTTATGTTTATGTTTTTATGTTTTAAATAATATATCGGCCAAATCACCGCCGCAGCTCTTTTTGCAGACGGTCACCCGCTCACGCCAATTTTCGATGACGCGGTGCACCATTTCGGCCGGTATGTCGGCTATGGCTCGTCGAATGTTGGTGTTTAGGTTACGAATTGTAGCTGGATTATTGCTGTACACTTTAGATTTAACGTAATCCCAAAGAAAATAGTCTAAAGGTGTTAAATCACACGATCTTGGTGGCCAACTGACCGGTCCATTTCTCGAAATTAACGACTCACCAAACTTTCCACGCAATAATTCCATGTTCACTCAAGTAATGTGAGGTGGTGCACCAGCACCGTCTTGTTGAAAATAAAGGTCGTCTGCATCAATATCATCAAATGCCGGAAAGAAATATTCGGTTAACATCAAGTTATAGCGCTCGCCATTCACATTAACAATCACGTTCGTCACTTTCAGAGAAGTTTTGGACAATTTCCAAGCGTTGGTTTAAATTGAAACGTGACATGATAAAATGGCAAACCTTACTGAACACAAATGTCAAGAGACGTCAAAGATCCATCATCAAACATGGCCGCTATGAGCTGTCAAAACCAGGTCATCCCTATTGGTAGACCCGTTACCCTGTGACATTCTCACAATTAATACGAATCTAACGACATCTCTCAAGCCAAAATCCATCAAGCCGTTTATGCTATAGAGCGCTCTAAATAAACACATACACTCGTTTAACAGCCCTTTTTCTGGAGCAGTCGGATAAAAGATCACTTGTGTTCGATAGTAACTAATTCATAAGTTATATTTGGCTATTTTTGAAATCTAGGTATTGTTTAACGTCGCAGCTATAATGGAAATCTTGTGAACAGAGATTTAACAATGCATTACAATTTTTGCACCGATGCGCGAGCTTTCACTATGGCTATGTTTTACTAGTTTCATATCACATTGTTTCGACTTTTTCTCTCTAAATTGCATATTCGAATGTCATGTTCTCTAATAGTATGCAATTTTGTAATATTTATAAAATTGTAGTTAATAATAATAATAAATTCTTTATTTAGAACTGACAATAAATTCAATGTGTTTGATAATGACTGCATTAGTAAAACACTGTAGCGCAATCACTAACGCCACAGTTATAGAAGTTTCGCCGTATAAACTATATATTATAGTAATTTGTTTTGAGTAGATATTGATGTATCTAGTACTGATGATAATGTTTTTATTGAATGGCATCGGTATAGTGTACTATACCAATCCGACAATAAAAGCGACTTTCAACACACATATATCTATTTATACCTAAGTATTCACACAGCGCTAATTTTCCACATTCATTTTTACCTAGAAATGATCTCTCTTTTCAATTATGTTTTTTTTTCTATATATTATATCATATCATATACACTTCTAAATCATACCGAAGGTAAAAAACGAAAATATATGTAATATTTACGTTTGTTTCGCGGTGTTAAAGTGCGCGGTGGGCATGTCCAGCTATCAGTTTAATGACTCAATACTTAGCTGAATAGGCCTTTTGTTTTAAGTGTCTGTCTCATTTACCCATTGCAATCAAGTAATGGTTTTTGTGGGAAGTAGGTATATATTTCATTTTATTGATCGTTAGAAAATTTATAACAACATCAAAACTGTTTTCTATATAATTAAAATATTTATAAAATCAGCTACATGAAATGATAGAAACTAGGGACTGTTAGGTAGTTTTAATTGGCCAATATTTATTGATTTTGATTAGTGACCATAAATATATTATTTACATTATTTGAAAATGACACAGAGTTGAGTGAATCCGTTACAGTACACTCCCCAACTAAACCACAATGAAATTAGCGGTGAATGGCGCCTTAATAAACATTTTTGATGTGAAACATCTAATGCGGAGGGTCAGACCGGCTGTTGGCATCGTCACGCTATGCCATAGTAGTAACATGTAATGCATGTAATTTAAAAAATCGGAATATTATAATTTTAATTGTGCTAAGTATGTTTATTATTTCCTTTCATAAGCTATCTCTATCACATATTTTATGTCTGCTTATTTCTTTAAATTTTGATGAGAAAATGATGTCAAGTTTACGTACTTTGGGAATCCCTGTTTTAAATTTTACAATAAAAATGGGTTATTTACGAAGCTATTTTAAACAATACCTTATTATTACTAATCCAATTAGGTAAATACGTTAGATACGTTGTGCATATCGCAGTCCCCGACGAACACTATGGTAATCGCTATTACGATAGAATCGGGTTTATTAGATATTCGTTATCTACACACCCTATTACAATCATTGAATTTTTTTTATGATCGGGCGATGAATACTTTTGGATTTATTCATTCAATAATGATCTTTATGTTTTTGTTCAACGTATAACATAAGTGAAAAATTTACATGATCAATAACGCAAAAACCTATTACCAAATCTCAAAAGTCAACATTTTAGAGTAAGCGGCTATTACCATATTGTTCGAGGGAAAAATGACAGAATCAGAATCAGAATTTATACATAGGTACCGAAATGGTTATAACACCTAAAAATGATCATCGAATAAGCATGTAATTTATGTTTACCGTAATATTAAAGTCAGTTATATCATCGAATACGATTGCAATGTCATTTTACGAATATAAAGTATATTCATATTTACCAAGGAACAATATCATAATGAACGATTACTACAGCAACACCGATTTGTGATTACAGTCGAACACTATCGTAAAGTTACTTTGTGTTAATTTTTTCCATAGCTTATTTCAGTAATGGACATTTTCACAATTTTCTTACTGATAAAGAAAATTTATGATAAAAATTTAGTAAAAATCTAGTGCAAAAAAATATTTCCTTATTTTTGATAAAAGAATCTTCTTTTTAGTCTTGATAGTATTCAAGATATTCAGTTTTTATTTGCTCCTGTAAAATTGTTATTTTCCTATTACGATTTTGTTCGTCGGGGACTGCGATATAATGTAGATTAAAGTTGATCTTTACATTGTATCAATAAAATGAATATTTTAGAAGATAGTAGAGGTTTAAAATGCGGGAGCAAAGCGGCCGTCGCCGCTTCGGGCCGTACCTCCGTCGCGGGTGTCAGCGGCCGGCAGCATCGTCGATAAAGATGTCCTGTAGGTCTATCATAATTGTTGTAGTAGTAGTATCTACATTGCACCCGTGCGAAACCGGGGCGGATCGCTAGTTGCATATATGTATCTACCTAAAGTTATAGTTAGTGACATTAAATACGGTTTAGTGGCTTTATTTGCAGTTTCACCTGCACAAACGATTTTTGTTTGAAATCCTACTAGCAATAAATTTGTGCAAAGGAAAAAAACACTTTAGCTTTAGGTATATAATCAGATTATTGTGTGAACCTGCTGATAAATTTCAAAGGTCTAAGAATATGTCATGTCAACAGGGTGCCGACTGCGATGGTGGAAGCAGGCGGGTGCAGGGGTGCGGGCGGCGGGGGGTAGCATGGCCGCCACGCTGCTACTGTTGCTGGCCACGGCCGCGGTCGGCGCGCGTCTCGGGGAGCTCGCGCGCCGCGACACCGGAGACATCTTCACAATTATCGGTTAGTTACAGTAACTATTAGAAGCTGTGCCGCAGAAAAATCTTTACTGTATTAATCCAAACCAACATAAGAGGCAAAGTATAGCTAGAAGCTCATGCAGAATACCGCGGTAGGTCTAAAGCTATTAGTCTAGTAAACTATAGTCTTTCTGTATAAGAGAGGGTTGTATTGTTCATAAACATCTATTAAGATTGCTTGTGAGGTTCGAACCTGCAAATCCAAATCATAAAAGTAATAATACTATCTAACTAACTAAAGTCATACTAATAATGGTTGTTAGAATACACTTATTAGATAAACCTAAATAAACAAGAATTGCGAAAGTACGTAATTAACTATCTAGTCTCCGGTCATGAAACTAGCGAAAATTCAAAATGTTTCGAGGAAATTTCAAACAAATGTGATAATTCACTTGTACACCGGTGGCAGTGGTTTTGCCATTGTGCAGTTTCTTGGTAGGTAGGTACTTTGTCCCCATGATGGACTATTACTTGTGTGATTGATAGACAGTTATTCCTAGTCAAGGAGTACTTTGTTTCCCTTTCTTGTATGTATGTTAATGGACCCCGGTCGTTGGGACATGAAGATTGTTTTCCAACACAGGCATTCGCTATAAACTACAAAGCGACTAATTTGCCATTCGTTGGCTCTTATCAGTGTCCTAAACAAGGGCGTAGCCAGTATAGATTTTGGGGTAGGGTGAAATCAGAGAAAGTAAATCAAATTCCGCATACCTAATAATAATGATAAAAAATTGTTTGACTTATTAATTTTAAGAAAAGCCTGCAAGGATTCTAGCTCAACTTATTAAAAACTTGGCTTTCCAAGTTTTCCATATCCGTTGTCATACTTATATAAAGGAAGCCCCTTAATCAGTATCACAGAGTTTAATACCTAATGAATTAATTTAAGGCAAAAAATGTAGGTACCTGCACTAATTAACGTTTATCAAACATCAGAGATTAAGCTTCTTGAAACAGACTAAATTAACAGAAAACCCATCGAGAATACACTTAGAAAGTGTAGGTAGGTATTACTTTCCATACTTCCTAGTAGAAATGATAAATTCTTTGTAAATTCCAGGAGAGGAGTGCAATGCAGCCCAATGCGCCGAGCACGGAGCACGTGAGGGGACAGGAGTCAGTATAAACGGCGAATGCGCATGTGCATGTCCCCAACGCGCTCCTCTTTTTAGAGAGGACCGTGAACTATGTGTCGATGATCTACCTGGTAATAACCTGCCTGTTACTTTTTCAAACATTTTGCTTCTAAAGTATGCGACAGTTAACGTATAATTATCACACACAACTTCCTGTGAAAAGGACGTATAAGTGGAACGATTCTGCAAAAAATCTACGAAATCATTGTTGAATACTCAAACATCTGCGATGCGGTCTCTGCAGTGCACATAATTAACTTTAGCAACCCACATAGGTAGATATACATAGATATGTACCGACTCATAGACCAATAAAATGTATATAATAGAAAAAAATCATGAGAATTATTAATATGCAACTAAGTGCAGCAGATATTCAATGGCTATGTTACGTAGATAACGGGTGTGGGAAGTCATTAAAACAATTGAATAGCTTTCCATTTTCATTATTAGATGGAGCATCTGCAAAAGCTGTTTGAATTGTTATTGCTCTAACTTTTTTTAGTATCGCTAATATAGCGCTCGTTATGTCTCATTTTTTAAATCAAAGCCCTAATTTCTTTAATCATTAGTTATGATGTATTGACAATTCTTCGAAAGTGATAGAATACTAAACTATGGTAAGTAATTACGGTATGTGCATTTAGTAGCTCATTCACTAAAAGCAACTACGTACACTCACCTGTTATGGTGCATTACACGATAATTTAAATAGTTAAAAATGATGTACATAAATCCATAAAATTATCATTTAAAATAAATCATTCTAAGATCAGAACCATCATTCAGTTTCCTACTAAGCGAGCAATATCCATATGAATAGCATAATTTGAAGGGGTAATGTCACCAACCGTGTCTCCAAGTGGGTATATAAGAATTTACAATGAATGAAATATAATTAACTTAGCATTAATATCGTGTAACTAATGTAATTTTTAGCGCATTATAACCTTTTAACCGCCCAGCTCACCGTGCCCCCAGCGCCCAACTCACAAATCAAAAAACACACGTACCAAATTTGATAAGCCACTCAAGAATCAGTTAAAAAGAACAGAGTATTTATTTTTATTGATCGTAGCCCGGCGTATCAATCTACGAAAGTACATCGGCCAAGTGGACCACGTACGTTTATAAAACAAAAAAGAATACAAATTTATATCATTATTTCGTCATCGTTGATATTTCTTATAAGGTATAATAAATCGAATAAAATTAATAATCAGGTAATGAATCAATACTAAATCTAACAAAATATTTCAGCGTAGCGTATGGAAAATGCCATTCGGTTGCCTCGATAATGACGTCACAGGCGGTCGTATATATCCGACTCGGGCGCTAGCTATACTACTGGCGTAAAATAATTTAAATAAGATGGTCTAGGGATAGTCGCCCGTACATAAATAATTAAAGCGCTTATTTCATTAAAGGAATTTAATATTGACACAGTACAACATGCACAACATGATTTCAAATAACAATTACATTATTTTTCTTCTAATCACTCCGTACCTACTTAATGCAATATATTTATTTATCCAGATTCCTAGCTTAAAAACTGTTGGAACTGTTACTGTTGGATAAATACGACACGGGCGTTACAAGTCAGTACACTTGCTCATAGATAATATTGGTAAATTTACCATTTTGAAATACTCGTAGTAATTTTAGATATGTTTCTAGTTATTAAGATTCTGCATGTGTGACTACATAAAAGGTTTGATAGACAATCTTTTCGAAAAAATTCTATTTAAAAAAAGAAACTGTGTAATAAGCTTAGAAATCGAAGATAAAATACAATGGGTTTTTAGTCGTATATATACTCGTACGACTCAGGCGGAATGGGCCCGAACATTTTTGACAGATAAATCCGACTTGGGTGGTTAAAAGGTTAATACAAAATGTATTTGAAATAGGATTGTATACTTAATTTTGGCATTTTTGTTATTTTTTACCACCTGACACTGTTATAAGTGGACCATTATTATGAGCCACTGTATCGAGTAGGTACATGCCTAAATGCAGTCTGTACGAGACTATTCTTCTCATGAGTCTTTCGATCAGTAATTTTTTATTAATTATTGTTACAAAACACGTATAGGTAAATCTTTAACTCTATGAATTTACAAAAAACTTCATAATTTTGTTTGATGAGGTCCTATAATACTACCCCAAACATGCATTTATGACAGTACTAGCTGACCCGCGCAACTGCGTCTGCGTCTCTCAATAGTAATAAATTTTCTCCGTTTTTGAAACATTCTTCATTAGTGCACCGCTCCTATTGGTCTTAGCGTGATGATATATAGCCTATAGCCTTCCTCGATAAATGGGCTATCTAACACTAAAAGAATTTTTCAAATCGGACCAGTAGTTCCTGAGATTAGCGCGTTCAAACAAACAAACAAACAAACAAACAAACAAACTCTTCAGCTTTATAATATTAGTATAGATTCATGAAGTCGACTTATTAAATGCAATATACTTCATACATTTTATATCAACATTAATTCTTATATGTCTACATATATTTTTTATACGAAATAGCTTAAGTATGCTAATGTTTTACGTTACAGAGTGTTCGTTAGCTACGTTTGGGACAGGCACCACTGTGCAACGTATCCCATTCGTTTACTTACCGCTCAAAGGCCAAATTATACATCCTTCAAGAGAAATTACTTTTCAGAGTAAGTCGAATATCGCCTATTCCAATCACATGACATAATTACTAGTAGGAATATAAATATTTCCAGTCTGTTTTGAGAGATTCATTTCCGTGTGCTGACGGATTAAGAATACGGAGTGTCACCACGCCTATTCATCCCGTGGGTGTCGTAAGAGCCGACTAAGGAAGCAGACTACGCAGGGCAACAGCACTGCCAAGAGAAGGAAAACTTGAAACAAACCCTATGCCAAACCGTCTGGCTAGCGTGATACAGTAGGCCAAAACCTCGTTTCTAAGGAGAGGCCTATGTCCAGCAGTCGACTATTACAGGTTTTTAATGATCTGAGAAATGAATTATAATAAAATTAGAGATTTCTATGTATGTATCTACAAACAACCCAGAAATTAAAAAAAAAAAGCCCTCAAACCTATAACCTTTTGTTTTCAAATATTTTCTATGTATTTCAGATGTAAAAACTCCAATTTGCGCTGTATCTGGCGCTCAATTTTTAACAAGAAAAGGCTTCCTAGACTTGCGAAATACTCTAGATGCCGATGTACCTTTCAATCTATTTCGAGATGAGGGTAGAACATTTCTACAGGTGATTTTTTTACCTACTTTTTTATTTTTAGGAGTAGAGTTAACTCTTTTTATAACCTAAAACGTATGTAACGTTTACAGTGGAGTGGTGAGGACGAGGTGCGTACAAGAATGACCGGCCGCGTAATGGTGGTTCGATTGCTATGTCGTGATGTAACCGCTACTCCCACATCGCCTCTTGATTTACGAGGTGTATTCACACCGTGTGTAGCGTTTAGGGTGCAAGGAACTGCGCCCAAACCCTATTCGAGTATGTTTTAGTTCATTTTAATTTTTGTTAACCTTTTTTACATTGTGACTAACTACATCGAGATATTTATTTACAGATATAACCGAAGTTCAATTTGCATTGAACGCTCAGACTTCAGAAGCGACACAAACATCAGGTCTTACTGTTACTGAATACGTAGCTATCGGAATAAGTTCTCTTCTTCTTGGTCTCGTCTACGTTGCCTCTGTTTTCCTCTTCTTGCACATACGAAAACGTCGAAAAACAACGTCTGATGAAGACGGTCGAAGGTTAAAAGGATTGAAGAACAAAGATGGGTCGATAATCACAGAACGTGATATTATAAGAGTTAATCATGAAAGAATGCAAAATCTACCAAACGCCCAAGAAAACGGAGTTGTCAAGAAAAATCCATTACTAACTATTGGTGGTCGACAGCTCATAGACATTAAAATGTACCCAAATGATTCCGGGAACAATTTGTCAGATTTGGATGATTTTGCTGATAGTAGCGCGCCAAGCGATGACAACTTATACACTGTAAGTTATAAATCTATATATTCAATATCAATGCAACATTTTAATGATTTGTGACAACATCTTATTTTTTACATTTCAGAGTGAAACAACATCGGCAGTTATACATAAACAAAATGGCGAGTTCACAATGAAACATGAAAGTTCAGAAATGAGCTATCGAGATGAGTCTGGTATTGAAAGACTCCCTGATGAACACGTCTCGATCGTAGAAACAACAGATTACCGAGAAATTGCCCGACCAGTTGGTACAACGCGAAGGAAATTATACTTCAATCCTGCCTACTTCGAACCAGAACTGATGGCGGTGTGTATGCTATATTTTTAGTAGCTTTTGTATTCTAGTTTGTTGTAAAAACGTTAGTAATATACCTTATAATATTTACAGGAACCCCCACCCGCTGCACTAGAATTTTTATCTAAAATTAGAGAAGTGATCTCAATAGCTAAACACAAAATGGCAGCAAAACGATTTCAACCAATCCTGAATGAAATACCCGAAGAAGAAACTCTACCTTCAAACGGGAATAGCATTAACTTCTACCAAGGTATGGGTAGTCAGAGAAGTGGAAGTGTTGTCAGCCTGAAACGAGAAAACAGCAGAAAGAAAAGTTGTATAGGGTGCCCCGGTTGTAAAGTAGACAGTAACAGCGATGTGAGCAGTGTACCAAAACATAATGTTCCAATTTGTGCAAGTTGTCTAAATAACAAAGGCGATAAACAAAGCAGTATTCGCAAGTGGCTTGAAAATCTCCCTACTTTAAAACAACATCCGTTGTATAGTGATTTACCAGCATCAACTCAAAGCAATTTAGCTGAGTCTCTTTTGTCCCTACCTTGCATTGAAAATAGAAAATTAAGGAAACAAAATAGTTTTTCGAGTACTAACTCCGTATACCTGGCCGATAATTATTCAGTGCCTAACAAATCCTCCACGTTATCTGTGAGATCTGAGCCTCTTACGCGTAGTTACAATTTACCTCTACCCGATTTCGGAAATTTGGATCAGCAATCTAATAATAATTTTAATTTCTATGGACAAACTGTAGCTCGAGTAGATGATATTAGACCCATTGGATTTAAAGACTACAATACTGAAAACACGGAAAGTAGTTCAGAAAATGAAAGACCCCCTCAAAAGTTTGTTAATAAAAATTCTTTACCGGACATGGTTAACGAAGCAATAGCTTTAGATCACTGTACAAAATCATATAATCAGAGTAGTTCTGATGAAGAAAGATTTACCACCAAAAACCCTGAAATTATGAAACATAACCAGTTTAGTTCTAGAAATATTTCTGAGACTTTTTCAGGTAATGATTACGAAACAGACAGTCTGGAAAGAAGTTCTAATAAAAAAGGATTATCTTCTCCCACCGACTACACTGAGCTATCGTCATCGCAGGCAAGTCCTAGTTTAAGCAACGCTCTACCTTTAGATGAAGAACTTACTATGAGAAATGCTATATATAAATTACACTCTGGAAGTGACAGTAATACGCCTTCACCGTATAGAGACGTACAGGTGGATTCACATCCCTATGAAACTATGGATAGCAAAAATAGAGTTTCTACATCAAAAATACAGGAGTCTACAAATCCAAGCAAAGATTACAGTTTAGTGACAGAAGTATACGTAAACAATAATTATAATTTTGAAAGTGCATCTACATCGCCTAGCGGTTCTGATTGTTCCATAGGAGGCAGAAAATTAGTAACAGCTACTAATGAAAATAAAGAAAAACCAGGTTGCTTGACAATCGAAGTTAAAGATTCGCCTGAAAACTATATAAAAATTCACGAGTCCGATGATTTTGAACCAGATACATTGGACAGAAAGCTTCCAAAACACATAATAAAAGAATCTATTGGCAAATTACCCTTTAACAGAAAAGATCTTATACAAAGTATAAATAACAGTGAGACTTTATCTAACTCTCATTGTATTCAGTCGAGAGGTGACGGTACTTTTACTAAACCAAATAACAAAGTAGAATATCCATCTAAATTCAACAGTTTAAGAAATGACTATGGATCCGAACGACCGAAGTTGACGCTCAGTCTATATAGCGGTTCGAAGAGTCTAGAACAAACCCAAGGCGAAGATTGGAAAGAAGGTGAAAGTTGGCTTACAGAGGAAGGTCGTATTTTGACTTTAGAACTGAGACATTCTAAAAGACAACGACAGTGTACACCCCCAACCATAAAACAGATTAAAAAATTATCACGACCTGATGTTCTGCCACCGTTACCACCTAGTGATGAGGATCCCATATATGAACAACCAAATTATCCACCTAGAAAAGTCGCAACTGATACAGTAGTGATTAATGAAATATATCCAAAAAACTTAAACGGCAGAAGCCTCAGTCCGAGGTCATTTATGAAGAGTACGACGAGTGAATCAACAATGCACGATAGTTCTACTCCTGAACCTAATTATGGAGATTCTTGCAGTTTAATGAGCGCTTCTGTCCTACCACAATCCTCGGAATATGAAAATATTGAGTCCATAATTAACAATCCTAGTGAACTATGCAGAAATTTTAGCAATAAAAGTTTATCGAAAGGAGGAAGTATAAATACTGATACCTTTGTCAAGGCAACAAAGAGCGGGCACGCAAAAGCTCGATTCCGTAGAAAGAAAGGGCCCAACATTAAAGATTCGGGATATTTGAGTAGTGACTCAACTGGGTCAAGACAAGTGCAAAGAAAAGTAGTCGTTGCAAAAATAGTTAGTTGTAGTGAAAGTGACGATACAGAGAACGAAGCTTGCAGTGAATCTGGTGCTGAAAGTATAGAAACACATTCGGTGTACTTTGATAGTTTCAGGAAAGTTCCAAGCAACGATGGATTCACTTATACTCTAGATAGCAAAAGTTCAAGAGATAGCAGTGGAAAGTTTCAACATTCCGATGACTGTTTATAACGATTCCTATTAATTTAAGTTTTGTGTCGTGCAATATAAATGAACTGTGCAATAGCGTGTGCAATAGGCGCGGATTGGTTTATTATAATTAAGCTTAACGTGTATGTACCTACCTACATTTTATGAATACTTAGACTTAATTGAGTATATTATGTTGTTATATTTTTAGTTAATTTTAGTAAAATATTTATAACGTGTTTAAGACACAAGGAAAAATAATAAAATGTATAGTTATATAATAGAAGTACCTCTTAAAACATCGATTTTATTTATTAAAAGGAACATAGTTCTAGATGAAGGCCGGACGTGCAATGCAAGTATAGCTTAAGTAACAGATTATTTAATATTACAATTTTATTTATTAAACTGTACAGTGTATATTATTTAAAGATTAATATATTTTGATCTGTATATATCATTGTAAGTAGAGTCAGGCAGCAACCGTAAGCTTCCTAGTACCTGACAATAAACAAATATGCTCCAGAGAGGATGACTATAAGTGTGAATCCTCTCTGTTGGAATTTAAGAGCACAACTATTTTGGTTATGGACATAAGACGTTAGTTGGGAGCAAGCAATCATAATATATAAATACTGCTATATACTATCTAAGGACTGTTAAAGGGTGATGCTAATTGCATTTGCCTACGTAAATTCCCAAAAATAGATACTCATAGAAAGAACTCACAGACTTTCACAACTTCTTATCCCTAATGTTGAGCCATGTTACCAGGAGACTACTTTAGATTGCTACTGTTTTCCCACTATTCTTACGTAAACAATTAATACTCGCAACTATTCACTTCTTATACTACACATGTTATTACAGTTACACCTGTCCTGCAGTTAACTTGACCACTCATTTTAAAAAGTTGAATGGATGTTGAACTTTTTTCCCTCGATATTCATGAGTCGAGTGGGCCCGATGGAATCTCTCCAATCGTGTTGAAGGCGTGTGCTGCAGAGTTGGCATCGGTTTTAACGTACCTTTTCGACTCTCCTACTCCCAAGGCGGTGTGGTGAACTCCTGGAAGGTAGCGTTTGTACATCCGATCCCTAAAAAAGGAGACCGCTTTGATCCGTCCAACTGCAGGCCTTTAGCCATAACCCCTTCTTCTCTAAGAATATGGAATGCCTGCCAGCTCCTGCGGTACTTAGAAAATCACCAGCTAAATTTAAAACTTAAAATTTAAAAAACGTCAATTAAAAACAATATAGTTTTCGTTGGGGTTGCTCAGAAGGTGATCTTAAATACCGGTGGTCACAGGTTTGTTTGAACATAGCGAAGGCCTTGGATCTGGTCTGGCATAAGACGCTTCTCTCGAAGCTCCCTTCCTATGGACTTACCGAGAAATTATGTAACTGGGTCACCAGTTTCCTTGCAGACAGAAGCATTAAACTTAAACTTTAAACGTTAAACTTATTTCAAAAAGTTAAATAAAAAAAGTTTACTTCAGGGAACGTCGGATTTTAAAACATTTTCACGTAATTGCAAACGTGACGATACACGCCGCCGCGCGATTTTCAATCAAGTCGGAATCTTACCTGTATTTGAATTCCAGACGTTCTTACCAGAATGTTCACTCAAAATGATAATAATCTTAATTACGTTCCCCGGCGAAAGGTTTCTCACGCCTGCGAGAAGTCGCTGCAGTAATGGAATATAAAAAGCTCCTGCTAACTAACGATATGCAAATATCGATAGTTCAGATTGCTTGTTACCAACAGTCAGGGTTTTAAAGGTTGTGGGTTAGTTGTGAGTATGTATACTATAATAATATATAATTTATTACTTTATATAAGTGTAGATAGCTGATTAAATGGTGCTAAAAATCGCAAATGACGGGCATTCGGGTATGCATAGCGGTTAAGACATTTTGTTTAAATCCGAATTGTATTGTCAATAAAATTTAATATAAGTAGTTTTACAGATTTCTGAATTTATTTAATGAATAATATTATTTATAAAGCTGTGAATATGCTCAATTATTTAAAGATACAATGTGTTAAAATCGTTTACAATAATTATTGTTATTTATAGATATGAAAACATAGTTAAAGCTCTCTTTACAGCCAGTATTAGGCTAAACCTTGTATATTTTATGTTATGTAACAATAGTTTTCACTGTATTATTTAATTGGTTCATATCATTAAGTTTTAAATAAGTTTATTTGTGTACTGCCGAAATATAATATTTGGAAGCTATTTAATGTAATGTTTTAGATAATTGTTCAGATTAAATCATGAAACAAAATGTAGTCTTCTTTCTTTTGTGTATTATATTTTTTTCCACATATAAAAAGTATTACAGATATTATTATGACTCAACTTATATGACATGCCTTACTTACTAGAAATTAAACACTGAATATACATGTTTTTCAGTCCACAGACATCCCACCAGATACAGGCACCGATACTCTCTTCTCTGCTAGAATTTCCACTCCCTTCCTCGCCTCGTCCCACATTTTCTTCTTAAATTCATGAAGACCAACTTCACCCTGAGCAAAGAGGTCTATTTCGGTGCCAATTTTATTTAGAACCACGGCATCGTTTGATTCACACATACTTATCATGGAATTATCTAGATAATCAAGCACTAGAGAGGTACGGTTCAACAAAGATGTGGCATAGCTCATGTAGTTTGGACCTTGTTCAGAAACGATCGCTGTATTTTCATTATATGATGAGAATGTGTCACTCTTTGAAGTAATTTTATAGTTAGGCGTTGTAGTTATAATTCTTAATGGTACAGCATCTTGTATGTAGTGAACCAAAGCTAAAGTTTGTGATGGACACCTAGAAAAGTAATACTTCGTCATGAATAATTTTTTATCGAAAATGTAGAGGCATAAATATCATTATCGTTGATATTAAACAATATTGTAAACTGAAAAATGAGTATGTTTTTTCATTTGTTTGAATTGTTTAAATAATAGGTCTTTACCTATGAAATTGCCGTTTTGTATGCAATAAGTGAAAGTACTTATTTTTTCAAACTTTTTTATTTCTGTTATTCGAAGTAATCACCCATGCAATCGACGCATCTTTGCCAACGCATTGGCAGTTTATTGATGCCCTTCTTGTAAAAATCAGCTGGACGGGAGGCAACAAACTCTTCAAAGGCATTTTGTACTGCCTCTCGGAAATTGAATTTTTTTACCCACTAAGCATTAATGCAGATGTGTACTGTGAAGAACTGGAGAGAATGATGGAGAAGCTTGCACATCTGCAACCAGCTTTGGTCAATCGGTCATCCCCACTGCTCTTTCACGACAACGCGCGACCACATACTGCGCAACAGACAGTCTCCAAGCTACAAGAGCTGGGGTTGGAAGCTCTCCTTCATCCGCTATACTCACCAGACCTTGCACCTACCGACTATTACTTTTTCCAAAATTTAGATAACTTTTTAGTGGGCATCAATAAATTGCCAATACGTTGGCAAAGATGCGTCGATTGCATGGGTGATTACTTCGAATAACAGAAATAAAAAAGTTTAAAAAAATAAGTACTTTCACTTATTGCATACAAAACGGCAATTTCATAGGTAAAGACCTATTATTTAACTAATCATCATGAAATTTTACATGGGTACATGTTGTCAGGGTTGTACAGAAAAAAAAAAAAAAATAACGAAATAAGACAGGTACTGACAATCGAAAATTACTCGTAATTTTAAAACATGAACAACTTAGACTCGCTAAACTCCTAGACTATAGGTATAAATAATTTCGAGTCTTCGATAAAAATATAACACAAACAAAATAATTATTACGTAAAATGCAATTGGATGGTTAATGGATCCGTGTGGTGACGGATTGAGAATAGTGTCACCAACCCTATTCATCAAGTGGGTGTCGTAAGAGCCGACTAAGGGAGCAAACTATGCAGAACAACAGCACTGCAAAGAGAAGGAAAACTTGACAAGTTGTTGGGCTATACCAACCTGTCTGGCCAACATGGTATAGTAGGCCAAAACCTCCTTTCTAAGGAGAGGCCTATGTCCAGCAGTAGACAATTTATTTGTTTTTTTTTAAACACAACTCCCGCACTAGGAACAAATCCTGTGTTGCTTACGCTACAGAAGATGTGTATATGTTTCCCTTATCCTACAGAAGACCAATTTGGTAAATAATCAATTTACAAAAATCATCAAACTGACTATATTAATAGGTACAAGAATTGCTTTGAAGTTCCAAAATACAATGTTTTTAAAATCATGTCCTACTACATTTTATGTCAGTAAATATCAAACGTCGCGAGTAAGAGCCAGTTTTTAACAAATACGAATAACATTCAAAAAGTTATTAAGTATTCTAATATAAATGATTGTGACCTGGAGTAAACAGCTACTGCTAGTTGACCTGTTTCTTCATTCCTTCCTTCTAAGATAATCATAAGACCATTTAGTGCATGATAGGGAGACTTTCTGTGCACCACTATGTTATCAGAATTAGGAACTCTTTCCATATTTAAATATTTATAGAACATATCAATAGTTACATTCTGCTCATTAGACCTCTTTATGTGGCGTAATATGAGTTCAGTTTTCTCCGTTGTTGCTAATACAGCTAGGATTATGTTAATATCTGGAAAGAATGTCTTATTGAAACATTTAAGACTCATAAATATATACGCTTGTATCTCAAAAGGGGTACACAGAGGCTTATCTCCAATTAATCACGTCGACCTTTTGCGGTTTCACTCACCTAACAGAAGGTAAGGTAGTCGAACAGAAGTCCTTTAAAGAAGAAATGTAGGTATTATAATAAAGAGAAGGCAATGGTAGTAAGGATTTTGGAACTACGGATAGGTTAGGAAGTGTAAGCCATAGCTGCAGCAGATCAAAGTCATATTCTAGAGGTATGCGAGCCGGTTATTGTTGGAGGAATTGTAAAACACAAATGTATAGAAAGCAATGCTGTCAAAATTCAATTACAGTCTGGACGATTTTCCAAGTCGAGTAAGACTTGGGATGAACGTTGGTGAGATCAAGATCATGTATTATAGGCATGTATCCCCGAGTCCCGTCGTAAATGCCGCTACTATCGAGGTCTAAAAATAGGTCTATCTTGGCCAAACTATCCAACTCGGCCGCACAACTTTGATCGGGAGGCCGATAAAAGAATTAGTTTGGATAGTATATGGGAAGCTTCGTCATATCTACAGGTCGCCAATCCCGTAATCGATTTAACCAAGGGGTTTATCTAGTGCGTAACGACATACGGAGCCGAGACGTAGATATTCACCATTGGACTGGTCCACAAGTTTAAAGTCGTTCAGCGTACCATGCTCGGTGTTTCTCTAGTCGATAAAATTTGAAACGTAACTATTTGACAGAGAACCAAAGTAAAGCCATTTTTTAGAAAAGGACCTTGTCCGAGTCCGCTCTGATCGGTGACCGACGCCCGAGTGCACTCGGGTGGCGTGTTTACACGATACAAGTAGCATCCGAGTAGTCATCCAAGCGCATTTGGTCCGAGCCTACTCGTAACGTGAAAATGTGGCTTAACCGACATCGCACGCAGTATCAATACGCTGAAATTAAAGTGGGCCCGTCATGTCTCTTGGGGGACCGATAGTCACTGGACTTTAGGAAAGTGACTGGAAGCAGATGGATGCGGTGTAGTGTGTAAGTACCTTTATAATATCTGCATCAGCGATTCCTTACTATTGTAATAATTATAACATACTTTCATGGCATTCAGTAAATGTAGGTAAACTGAAGTGGTTGCCTAATTTATCCAAACCCCAACATTACATGGCGACCTTGCCTAAGGGCTCTGTCAAGGGGTCCACAGTCTTTTGAGCTCTAGTAATGTAGTTTTGCCATTTGAACATGTGCCGGTCCACTGTTGAACAAGAAGAGGTCTTCCTCAGCCAAAACGTGATTCTAAAAACTTGAAAATATTTCATTTGCGAAACTGTTTCATTAGAAATACTCTTGGAGAAAATCCTCTTGATAAGCAAAGCAAATATAAGCTAATAATAAATAAGCAACGCGCTCGTCACTCCTGAGTTGATGGGGGTTCATGGGCGGCGGTAGTCACTTTCGATCAGAGGGCCTAGTGCAAGTTTATTTCACATCGACTCGCTCTCGACGGTGACCGCGTTTAGCGTTGTGATTGGTGGAGATTTCAGCGCGGGCCAATCGTAGCGCCGAACGCGGTCACCGTGACGATCGAGTAGAAGTGAAATAAACTCGCACTTGGCCCTCAGGTGACCTGTGTGCTCATTTGTTAAAAAAAAAATCTATACAATACTCTGATATCTGTAGGTTCGATACGCACCTGAAAGATCATTGCACATCACATCAAACTGTTCTCCCATTATATCCTTAGAGGACAGTGTTACAGCATCAATTGGGAGTATGCATTCGTGTTCTTCATTCTTATAAATTATGACTTCATTCCACTCTATTCTTCTGATAATATTATCTTTCAGTTCTTTCAAATCAACAACTACAACTAAAGCCGATTCTACATTACATAATAACTTTTGAGACTGTGTCTCTTTCCAAAAAGGTGGAGTACTCATTTTTTCAAATATCTTTGTTGTGTATTCTATTGATTTTCCTGTTGTTCCATGAATAAGTATTTGCACGTTTTCTAAGGGCCTGTAATAAAATTAATAACATTAATGCATGCCTCACTTTCAATTTGTCTATTCTGGGATTATTTACCTGAAAACTTGTTAAAGTTGTAACCTTTATTTGTGAGAGGTGGTCTGGCGGACTCAAACCAACTACTACCCTGTATACCATAGAAGAGAAATGCCTGTTAAACTGGAAGATTGTTTATCTGCCTAAGTTTTTTATGTGAGTAAAGTATCTATTTGTCTATTTTGCATAGAAGTTTGCATTTATTGTTTCTGATATACATTCATCAGAATGGGTTACAAAAATTAAACTACCACAAACACCTCGTGGGGTCTTTCTGGCTACACTGAACCATCACTTGTTTACACTTTCTTTTTCATTTTATACATTGCATGCTTTACTTGTATTTGACAAATAATGTTTTTTTTAGACGTTACTGTTTTGTTTTTTTTAAAAAGAGAACTCCCACACTAGGAATATATCCTGTATCGCTGGGGACTTTACAATCATACATGAAAAGGACACAAACAACACCCAGACTTAGAACAACAAATAGTGAATTACACAAAGTATCATCTCATGTGGGGATCGAATCTACAACACTCAGTGTAGTAGTAAGCAGGGTGGCAACCACTTTAACCACTATGCCATCCGTCCAGCCTAATCATGATCTTTTATCTACAACAACTGTAGCTTATAGGGCAGATCATTGAAAAGAGTAGGAACTAGATCTCATCAACTTTCGCACCATACAAGTTATTGGCCTGAGACAGTATGTTTTTGGTTTTAGGTGCAATTGATCTCAAGTTATTTAGTCTAGTGTTTCTAATTAATATATTATCAAACATAGCATTGCATAGCATTGTCATACGAAAATTGATACACAAAAATTAAAATGTCACTTCTAGTTAAGCGCATTAAAATCTTACATCTTTGTAGTGTAATGTCCGTCTATGCTCTAAGTTAGTGTGGGTAGCGGTTAAAAACATTATATTACTACCTCTTTTATATATACTCTCACGCAATATATTATTGTGTATTGGTGTTAATTTTGTTCTCAAAATAATAAGTATCAAAATTCTTCATGGGAATAAATACTTAAACCAAATTAACAATCTTAGTGGTTGGGTAGTCTCAAAAAAGAATATATAAAAAAAGCTTTTTTTAAACAGACATTGTTACTAGAATAAATAACTTACTCTTCATTACCATTGCAGACAGTGTGAACAATAACAATCTTGTTATTGCAAGTTTTGATCCATGGCTTTTGAGTAAAAATATTCAACGCATTACCCACCTAAAAAAGTATAAAACAACAAACACATTATTTGTTCATAGCTTTTGGAAACAGCTTTTGAAGTTACAAAAGTTATTACAAAAACAGTAAGAGTAAGACAGAAAGGGTATACATAAATGCTGTTTATTGAAAAATGACATTGTACAAAAAAAACTTGATAATTACACTTTGTAGTAGCAGCTGCTGCAATCTTACTGCTCAATCAGTCGTAGTTGATATAATATAACATAGACAAATATGCAGTTACTAAAATACTAAGTGTGAATCAATGGTAGATAAAAAATTTGATGTTAACTAAACCATATAACTCACCTCATTCAGATTATCGCTAAATAAAGAATCACCTAATTTAGGGTGAATCTTCGTATATACCGAAAAACAGATTAGCTGCCGAAGATGTAAGAATTCTTTAAGAGACTGCTCATTAGATTTAACAGTAAACTTAGCTTCTGTTAATTTTATCTTCAATTGTGTTACTATTGGTTCATTCAGCAGTGGGCAGGAAGGACTAGAAGAATATTCTAAAGGCTTAAAATTTTTAAAGTTATCGTCCGGTACAACTGGGATTTCACTATACTTAAGAAAAACGTTCAGTACTGCTTCACCACTGCACGCAGAATCACTTATTTTGTAATTACAGACACCAATTAGTCTTTCATGTATTTTTAATTTTTCTTTTCGGGATAATATAGTAAGTTCACCACCGCCTGCCACTAAATAGAAAAGCTCACACCGTTTGTTTCTTATTAACTTGATTTCTGTGGTAACTCCCTCATTTTGGAGGTTGACAGAAGACACCAAATCTCGCTGAAAGTACTCTCTAACCTCTCCTGCACCAGTACATATCGTAATATCAATATTCTTCTCATCTCGAGGATGATTATCGTAAAACGCAAAACATTTAATATCGTTTATAATAGACGCAGGTAGAAGTTGTACTAACATCAGGCGGACGTTTTCTGATATTTGTGACATATTTCAATAAAAATTAACTATATATAAATCTAGAAAACTTTTCCAAAAAATGTAGACGTAATAAAAGTAATTCCAGTGCTCTATTTGTACACAACGTGCAAATCACAGACAGTATTTTGACTTGATCTAGTTCACATACTTTACATTTACAAATTAGAAGTAGGTACCTACTTAAGCCGCGGTCTTTACTCAAGAAGCCCGCGCTTTTTTATCGTGTCTTGTCAACTTCAATTTTTGGTTAATGGCTTTGTGGAGTTTGTGGTAGATCATCTTGTCATTGTTATACCAAATTGTTAATTGTCAAATCGGCAGTGACAACACTCAAATGTCAAACAGGGTTACCAATGTATAATACACACTGTCCACCCTGATTCTACTGTTTTTCCCGAAGAAGAATGGCGAATTTTTAAACACTCAAGTCAGAGAAATAGCGTCCAATTTCTTGCCTTTAAAGGCTTTTCCCGCGTGTAGTACCAAAAGTACTGTCACTGGATACGCACAAGTTGTTTTCATATTTTGTGTTGTTTATTTTGACGATTTGTGTTATAAAAATGTGTAGAAATTATAAATGACGATCTAAATAAAATAAAAAGTCACCTAACATCGGTAAGTACCATTGTTTCGTATCTGCTTCAGCAAAAAAAGACATTGTTTTTTTTATGTTTTCACACATCTCAAACATGCGGCTGCGGTCTGATCCCAAACTAGGCAGAGCCTGTGCTATGGTAACCAGACTGATGATAAACATACTAAATAATAGGTCTTTACCTATGAAATTGCCGTTTTGTATGCAATAAGTGAAAGTACTTATTTTTTTAAACTTTTTTATTTCTGTTATTCGAAGTAATCACCCATGCAATCGACGCATCTTTGCCAACGCATTGGCAGTTTATTGATGCCCTTCTTGTAAAAATCAGCTGGACGGGAGGCAACAAACTCTTCAAAGGCATTTTGTACTGCCTCTCGGGAATTGAATTTTTACCCACTAAAAAGTGGTCTAAATTTTGGTAAAAGTAGTAGTCGGTAGGTGCAAGGTCTGGTGGTCACATTTGCAACCAGCTTTGGTCAATCTGCTGCTCCTTCACGACAACGCGCGATCCCATACTGCGCAACAGACAGTCTCCAAGCTGCAAGAGCTGGGGTTGGAAGCTCTCCCTCATCCGCCATACTCACCAGACCTTGCACTTGACTGCACGCTTTCTATTATGCCGAGTGTTGTGGGTTCAAACCCCACATGGACCAACACTTTGTGTGATCCACAAATTGTTGTTCTGAGTCTGGGTGTACTTTGTGTCCGTTTCATGTATGTTTGTAAAGTCCAACGCGACACAGGATTTATTCCTAGTGCGGGAGTTGTCATTTAAAAAAAAAAAAAACAAAACAATTTAATTATTTTCAACCTATATTTGTATTATTGTTCTTAGAATATATTTTTCTAGGTTAATAATATATTCAACACTGTTATAATTTAATTTTCTTTACTTTAAAGAAATTTTTAACAACTGGTATCATTTATGCACGCACACTAGGAAAGCAGAATGATGTGACGTGAGTGTAAGACGAAGCTGTCAGGCACACCTGACACACGAATATAGTAAACCAGGCTCATTTCCATTTTTGTTCTTTTGCAGCGCGATGCTCTATCTAGACTTTTTAATAATCCAATGGCGAATACTTATTTGACTATTATTTGAAAGTCTTAACACGTTCACTGCGGGAACCTCTTTAGCAAACTTTTAATATATGCGTTACTAGATTGTATCGACACTGTTTTTTGTACCTTTTGGCCACGGTGCCATGTAATTTAACATAATTTAAAAGTTCGATATTTCACTAAAATCACGTCAAATAAAAAAAAAACATAAAATATAAGTAATCTAGATTTATTGCTGTCAGTCGGAATCATAACAACAGTTTACCTACATGAAAAGAGCTGTAAATATTAAAGAGAGCGATTGTGGCGTTATGTGGCTTTCGATTCTCTCTGCCTATCCGCAAGGGATTTGGCATGAGATATAGATATAAATATCAGCAAGTTCAACAGTATCATATATCAGTATAAGAAACAAAAATATCAAGCATATAAATATGAGCATGTGCATGGCTTGAGTTGACAGTCAGATGGAGTAGGCTCAGATTAAATAGAAAAGTTAAGATGATGCACTATGAAGAAAGAAGTGAGGCCATTAAAACTACGCCTTGCCTTGTACTTACATAATTACCGTCAACCAGTCACCTGTCGCCCTAGCAAAAGCAGGGTTAGGTTGAGCCGTAACATTCTACAAAGTGCGCGCGCCTTATTAAGGGCGGAAGCGAAGTCGACACCGTGGTTACACATAACGTAGAACAGTCGATGGCCTGAGGGGATAGTCGGTGGGGAGGTATCTGTGGGGACATCCCAGGTATATGTGTGTTCTGAAAAAGCTAAGGTTCAAATAAAATAATGGTTTTGAAAATAATTAATTGATTAATATTTTATTTCTAGCGTTCTTTGACGAACTGCAGCTGAGATCCAAAAGAAAATAAAAGTTCTGAATATCGTAACTTTCTTTCGTGAGCATCACTTCCGCACAGAACGAGGTGGCAGATTGTTTTTAATCAATAAATTTTAATTTATGCCTTTTAATTTTTTGCTGTGACTATATTAAAAAATACCTACACTAACAGCGTGTTTAAATTTCGAAGTGTTCAAACGTTCGAGAAGATAGGGAATCTGACCTTGGAAATAACCCGTGACCCTTACCCTGATACTTCCACTTTCCAAAAGTTTCGTTCCCAGTTAGTCTTTCGTAAGGAATAAAGACTTAGAAAAATTGCCCTGTGCCCGTTTCATTACAGGGAAAACTCGCATGCTTGCGAAGAAGCAAGCAAGAGAAGCATGTGGAATTCCGCCAGGTCTTTCGACAAGCGGAAGTCTTGCTCGTTATAGAGGGGGCTCTCCTGACCTGCCAAGTTAGGCGTCTAGCATGTCTCAGGCTATCTAGTCATAGATAACCCGAGGTTTGCCGGGGTAGTGGGATTTCCTCTCTAGATTTCACCTGGTTTCGAGGCAGCTGGCACCAAAGACGGGCGTTGGCACCAAAGTTGGCTCAAGGATAATGTGGTATCCGGCCAGTACTCGACGACTGGCTCGGAAGAAGGCACGGCTCCCTGTCGTTTAGGGTGACGCAGGTGCTGTCGGGGTACGGCTGCTTTGCCAAGTACCTGTGCCGCATAGACAGGGAGCCGGACGCTCGGTGCCAAGACTGCGTCCATTGCGGGGAGGACACGACGCAACACACGCTCGCCGAGTGTGTAGCTTGGGAGGAGCAGCGCCGTGTCCTCACAAATGAAGTAGGAGGCGATCTGTCGCTGCCGGCCGTAGTGCGGAGGATGGTTTGTAGCGCAGAGTCGTGGGACGCGCTGGTGTCCTTCTGCGAGGACGTGATGTCGCAGAAGGAAACTGCGGAACGGGAGAGGGAGATCTCGACTCCTTTCCCCGGCCGCAGAAGGCGCACCGGGCGCAGGAGAAGGGCGGACAACGCCCTTTTCCGGCCCCCATGAATCCAGGGTCCAGGGGCGAGGGACTTGGGGAAGTCCCCGCCCCCTATTCGATGGACCCGAGGCGGAGGCACGCGCGGGTGTCGGCGCGTGCCTCTGAGGCGATGCCCGGGGTAGTTAAACACCTTACTACCCCGTGCAGGAGAAGAGGCCCGGACAGCACTAGTGTGGGGCTGCGGCAGAATTTGGATTCCCGCGGCCCCGCGCGCACGTGTGAGGGGTCACCGGGGTGGTTCTAGCCGGTAAGAGTCCGGCACGCCCCTCCGCCTTTCCCCAGACGGAGGTAGTAAATGAGGATTCCCCTCCGTAAAAAAAAAAACAAAAAAAGGATAATGTGGTATGCGGCGCAATTTTTTTTTCACAAGTGGCAAAAAAGTGCTCCGTTTCGTACACTTACTTCAATGCCATCTTTTTTTTTTTGGGCGTTAGTTTTAGTTCCTCAAAAATGCTAAGAACAAAACATTCTTAAAATTATGATTTTTAACACTATCAGTTATTTTGAAACGTTTTCAATCATCAAATCATCCTCGCTAATCATCATTCGGCTAATTTATGGGTTCTTTATTCAATCACTGAGTTTTGTAACATTGTAGCACTACCTAAATTTACTCCAAACATCGTTCAGTAGTTTTGATTCCGTTTTTGATCATCAAATTTTGTCGTTGACTAGGTACATATGACGTACATATTTGTTTAAGGGATTGATTTACTTTAAAATTCTACTACTTCTCATCATAACAGTCCTACCACCATACATTTTTTTTAAATCATGTGACATAACATATTAATAAAAAATCAGTAGATACCAAACCTAAACCTAAGTTGCTTTCTAAGTAACCAATAATATGACTATAACGAGCACTTTTCGCTTGAATGGTCCTGCAGGTTTTGTTATTTTGTAATCTTATGTATGTTTTATAAATAATGGTATATTTTGTATCAGAACAAACTAATAATAAACAAAGCTGTGTGTAAAACTAACGATTTTCTGAAGATGAAGCTAGGAAGTTGATAGTGGAAATCTCATTACTTTTTTATTTTAAAATTATGATTTTTAACACTATCAGTTATTTTGAAACGTTTTCAATCATCAAATCATCCTCGCTAATCATCATTCGGCTAATTTATGGGTTCTTTATTCAATCACTGAGTTTTGTAACATTGTAGCACTACCTAAATTTACTCCAAACATCGTTCAGTAGTTTTGATTCCGTTTTTGATCATCAAATTTTGTCGTTGACTAGGTACATATGACGTACATATTTGTTTAAGGGATTGATTTACTTTAAAATTCTACTACTTCTCATCATAACAGTCCTACCACCATACATTTTTTTTTAAATCATGTGACATAACATATTAATAAAAAATCAGTAGATACCAAACCTAAACCTAAGTTGCTTTCTAAGTAACCAATAATATGACTATAACGAGCACTTTTCGCTTGAATGGTCCTGCAG